GATACTACTTAGCGGAGATTCTACCTTCCTCCATACCCTCTGGATCTAGGCTCCCTCTTGAAAGCTTGTAAGCCAGTCACTTCTTGTCTTTGTAACACCACCACCACCACCACCACCCCATTTTGGATAGCCAGTGTCCAAGTTGCTCATCCCTGTCTACCTTGTGTATTGAGGTGGTGGGAATGATCCTTGTAAAGATTTGTTCCCTCTTTTGAGCGACTGCATCCGTAGGTGTAGGTCAAGTTCATCAAACTGTATCAGATTATTCTTTTTTTCCTCTTCTTTCGTCTTCTAGTTGAGCTCTGATCAACCAGCTTTTTTTTTTTTTTTTTTTTTTGATATGGTAGTTTTCAAATATAAGTCTTAAGATAAATGTAGACAAAGACTATTTGAGCTTACAGTACAAAATTCTGAGTTTGTACATTCAAAATGGAACTTAAATGTGAGTTGGGCACTGAAAAGTTGTTTTTGTTCTGTTTTAATATTTTTGATATTCTTTCTGCAATAAAATTAATCCATTTAAGAAGGCGTTTAAGGATTTGTTTGGCTGGTGTTATGTTAGTTTTCAAAACTGTACATTGCTGAAGACTTTGTGTGTGTCTTATTTTTTATTTATATTGTTTCAGATCTTCTGAGAACATACTACTGTTTTAAAAGATATTTGGTGTACCGATACTGTTTCTTAATTGAAAACATTTTGTTGTTGTTGTTAAAATTTGGGGCATCTTGTATATATGCATTTTGTCTTGTTAAGAGGAGGAAAAGGATATTATGCTGTAAACATGAGTATTGATAGTTTCAGTTCATTTGACAAAGTTATAAAGTTAAAGTATGTTTAATTGACATTCCTGTTGAAGAGCAGAGATGTCAGCTTGAGGACTAGGGTGCGCCTGACCCAGGCCATTGTGTTTTCAATAGCCTCATATGGATGCGAAAGTTGGACAGTGAATAAGGAGGATCGTAGAAGAATTGATGCCTTTGAGTTGTGGTGTTGGAGGAGAATACTGAGGGTGCCATGGACTGCCAAAAGAACCAATAGATCTGTTTTGGAAGAAGTGCAGCCAGAGTGCTCCTTGGTTGGAGGCCAGGATGGCTAAGCTTCGTCTCTCCTACTTTGGACATATTGTCCAGAGGAAACAATCGCTGGAGAAGGATGTCATGCTGGGTAGGGTGGAGGATCAGAGAAAAAGAGGAAGACCCCCAACGAGATGGATCGGCCAGGTGGCATCATTGATGGACTTGGGGGTGGCAGCGGTGGTGAGGTTGGCCCAGGATCGAGCATTGTTTCGTTCTGCTGTGCATGGGGTCGCTATGAGTCGGTTCCGACTCGATGGCACCTGACAACAACAACAACAACATGCTACCAGAGCTATATATAGAGGTCCATATTACCACAAAGGCCCTGCAAGAATTAAGCACCATAGCTAATCAATGGGCTGAACACACTGTAATTAGTACTCATTTTACTGACTGGTTAGAGGGGTGGTTTCGAAAGTGAAAATATATAGCTGCCTCAGTCCTCATTTTCTCAATAGCTGGAGTTTCAGACGTGGTCCCTACTTGGTTTGAGCATTTAGTGCTGTGAGCAGGATTCATTGCAATGGCTCCAGACCTAAGAAATTGTAAGGTTTTTCAGGAGAAAGGATGAAGGAGAATGGGATAAAATGTTTCAGCTGAAAGGAGAGCTGATTTCATATTGGATACAAAAGATAGCTGATCTGTGGCCAGGGCCTACTGGAATCCACCCTGCCAGAGGGCCAAAGCCATATATGCATGTGAATGGGGTTAGTCCAAGGTGGAGAGAAAGATTAAACTTGAGTGTTTAAAAAGGTTAATATGTTTGACTGCCTTATGGATATTGGCTTCTCCTGCTTATTGTTCTAAAATAGACATACATGTGTATAGGAATACTGGGAATTAAGGTGGAATCGTGAGCTCCACCTAGAACTTCAGAGTTGAGACATTTGCATTTTAAAAGATGTGCACTCCAACACAGAACTGTTGAAATTAACAGGAGATTTGTGATTGAAAGAAAGTTTTTTTAAAAGTGTTTTTTTAAGTTAAAAAATAAGTTTCAGAGACTCCAAGGCAAGGAAAGTTGGCCCATCAAAGAAAATCTCTTTTAGAACTGAAAGTTGAAGTGAACCAGAGAGCAATATGCTTGCTGATGATCACCTGGGTCTACCTGTGAATGGAATTGGGGGAATGTTTTATTGGCACCCATTGACCTTGAGATGAAATAAGAGGGAAGACTGACTGTTTTGAGGTGCAGGGAGGTGTGTGTGAACTCCCAAACTTGTGGCTGGTACTCATTTGACCTAGCTTAGATGGCTAGAGTTGTTGAGCTGACTGGATACTCTGAGAAAGCATCAGTTGCTACAGTTTGATGGACTGAACTTTGGCTTATGGATGCAGTCCCTCAAAATTCCAGTCAGGAATAACAAACAAGATGGCGGATAGGGTAGACGTACAGTGAGGAGCTCCATCAACAATACAGAATACTGGACCAAGCAGGCTCAGAGGATGGTCAGGAAGAAGTCAGGAAAGAACTCTGAACCACATATAAAGGAATATTTAGAAAGTTGGGAGGCTTACAGCCAGTGGAAT